TTTCTAATTTTTCTGTCTTAATCTGTCCTTATCTCAGACACCTGGAGCTGTCAAGTCTAAGCGCATGGGAGTAGGAAGCATTTGTGTCTTACAAATTCTCCATCAGGGAAGTAAAGAAACTGTCAACTCATTCCACTTAAGTAAACACGTTATGACATCATTTCCAGGAACTTTCCTTTTATTGAATGCTGAATTTAAGCCTTGGGATTGAGAGCACATAAAATAAACACAAAGATGAAAGAATCCCTAGAGGTTAGTTTTTTTTTTTTTTTGGTCTTTTTGAGAGGGTCTCCCTGTAGCCCCAGCTGTCCTGGAACTCAGTATGTAGACCATGCTGGCGGTGAACTCAGAGATCCGCCTGCCTCTGCCTCCCGAGTGGTGGGATTAAAGACGTGCTGGGATTAAACGTTAGCTTTTTTTATTCTTTATCTAATTATTATTCCATAGCCAATTAAAATTGTACCCTTTAGTTACTTACAAGGCTAAGCAACACGCAAGCCAATTATAAAACAGCAATGGCTAGTGCTCAAATGGAGTTGGGGAAGGTACATTAAGAAAAGAGCCGGGTGTGGTGGTGCATGCCTTTAATCCCAGCACTTGGGAGGCAGAGGCAGGTGGATCTCCGTGCGTTGAAGGCCAGCCTGGTCTAGACAGTGAGTTCCAGGACAGCTGGGGCTAGAGGGAGATCCTGTCTCAAAAAGACCAAAAAAAGAAAATAGACAAAAGATAAACAAATGGGTAATATGCTCATGAAAAATATTCTCCATCATAAATCAGGAAGGAAATGTAAATCAGAATCACAAGAAAGTACTTCACACCCAATACAATGGCAGCAATCAAAAACAGAGACGAGTGTTGGCAAGGAAAGAGATTGGAACCTTGATGCGCTGCTGATGGGAATAGAAAATGACCCAGCCACTTTGGAAATCACACTGGCAGTTCCTCAAAAGAGTTATTAACATATGACCCAGCAATTCCACTCCTAGGTGCATCGCCAAGAGAAACCAAAACATGTACACAAAAATGTGTATGCAAATATTCACAGCAGCACATCTGTTTCCAAAAAGCATCAATAGCCCAAATACCTATTCATTAATGGGTAACGTGGTACATCCGCACAAGGGATTAACACTTGGCAATAAACAAGAATGAAGTACTGATATAGCCCACAACACTGACGAGCTGGGAAACATTTCGCTAAAAGACACCAATCACAAAATATATCGTATGAGTCCATTTCTATGAGATACTCAGGACAACTCCCTGGACACAGCAGCTGTTTAAGTTTGGAAGTTTAGGGGGAAACTTCTTTGGAGGCATTAAAAAAAAAGAAAAAAAATTTTAATTGCACTAACGGGCCAGGCATGGTGGCACATGCCTTTAATCCCAGCACTCCGGAGGCAGAAGTAGAGCTCTGTGAGTCTGAGGCCAGTCTGGTCTACACAGCAAGTTCCAGGTCAGCTGGGGCTACAGGGAGACCTTGTCTCAAAAAAGACAGAAAAAAAAAAAAAAATGCAGTAATGGCCATAGTTTACAAATACACCAAAACCTGTGAGTTAACAGTATGTGCTGCATCTCCATAAGACTGGTGACAAATTTAAAGCTAGAAATAACCAATAGACATAAAACTCTACACAAATACTAATAATAACTTAAAAGTTTTTAAACATTTTCATAATGAACTCTGAATCTGTGCATGCACATGTCAAAGACCAACACTAAGTATCTTCTTTAACTGCTTTCCACCTTATTTTTTTGAGACAGGGTCTCTCACAGAACCTGGAGTTCACTGATTCAGCTGGACTAGCTGGCCACAAAGCCTGAGGGATCCTCCTGATCCCTCCCCAGCACTAGGATCCCTCCCCAGCACTAGGATTACAGGCATCACTCACCCACTGCTGTACCTGGCTTTCTATGAGAATGCGGGTATCCAAACTCAGGCCCTCAGAGATATCGTCCCCTCAGCTCCAAATACCAGCCCCAGCCCCCTTTTGGAGACAAGGTTTCACTATGTAGCATAGGCTAGACTGGAACTCCCAATTGATCCTCCTGCATTAGCCTCCTGAGTGCTGGAATTATAGGCTTTGCACCACCCTACCCAGCTTGAATTTCTTTTCTCTTGGGGAAAAACAATACATATACTTCTTAAATGATAATCACCCATTGGAACATAATATGTGGAAAAAATGTAGAGTCAAGAAATGCTGGAATAGTCAAACTTGAATCAATTCTGAGAGAAGGTTGACAGTGCTGAGCCGCAGTGACACTCTAAAACTTAAAATTAACAAAGTAAGGTATTTGAAATGAACAGGATAGCAAAGTCTTTCCTCCAGATACAATACAGTGTGTTAAAGATATCAGTACTTGGAGCTGGAGAGATGGCTCAGTAGTTAAGAGCACTGACTGCTCTTGTAGAAGACCTGGGTTCAAATCCTAGCGCCCACATGGCAGCTAACAACTGTCCGTTAACTCCAGTCCCAGGGGATCCCACAGCCTCTTCTGTCCTCCTCGGGCACTGCACAACATGGGTGCACTTACCTACATGCAGGCAATAAATGCATACACATTAAAAAAAAAAAAAAGAAAAGATATCAGTACTCATAGGCCAGGTATGGTGACATATACCTGTAATTCTAGCACTTAGGGGGTTAAGGCAGGAGGACTGTGAATTTAAGGCCAGTCTAGGTTACACAGCAGGGGCCCTGTTTCAAAATAACCACCACCAAAAAAAAAAAGCACCAGGACTCATTAAGTTAAAATGGAAGTGGTCCTACAAAATTACCAATGACAGAAGTCTAAATTCTGCAATTAACTGCTTTCTCCTAGACATCATTAAAGTTCAGTTGTGGCAAAGGGCCATGCTGGAGCCTAAGGCTGAGACAACAGTGTTAAATATTGGTGTTTAAACTAAACGCACCTAGTAAAGCCCTTATCAGGTGAAGGTGATATGGCTGGGGGACTATTACATTAATGTTAATTTCCATCTTCTTTATTTCAAGGAATTCTGTTGGCCTCCAGACTATATTTCCTAAAGTCTAATTTTAAATATATTTGAGAAAGTCACTTAAAACAGCAAAAAGTAAAATGGGCCCAAATCATGATCTCGCAAACTCAAATTCAATTCAAATTAATAAGGGTTTGTTTATAACCCACTTCCTCAGGAACCTCAGCAAACCAGGGATGTGCCAATCATGGCTAAGACAGGGCTAAGGAAGAAGATGCAGCTGGCTAGCTGGCTAACAGATAAAAAATTCATTCACTGGGAGAAAAAAACAAAAACAAAAAATTACTTTGAAATAAATAGACTTGACATCAATTAGAAGAGAATGGATGTCACCTTGCTATTATTTTCCTGTTTACTTATTACATTCATTTTCTTTTTCACTTCTGATTGATAAATGACAGGCAGATGAGGCTGCAAATCCTCCGGTTGTGCAAGTAGAGAGTAAATGAAAACACAAAATAAGTCAGTCCTGGAAAAATACAACAAAACTAGAAGGCTCACCAGGCAACAGTGTATTTGTTTAAATTTCTCACCTCTAAACCCTACCATTTATTTCCCCCTGAACTTTTTGGTGTAAATAGCCTCCTAGCCCAAATTTTATTCCTAACATTCCAAATGCTGACGTGTTTCCTGGGCCACTCCTTTCCTAGTAGTAGTTCTTTAAACTAGAGGCCTTGGAGATTGCATCCCAGTTGTTTTGAATCATTCATAATCATCGTGGACAATCTGTTCTTATGGGTGTCCCCTGTCCCTATAAAGATGACACTGAGTTTGCTGAAGTCATTTTTACAACGCCGACACATATTACACTTTTAGTTCTTACTAAGTTCGGATGGTTTTAAAGTTTGGGGCCTTAAGGATCCTGATAGCTGTGATCAACTCTGACATTATTAGCGTACATCTCTTCACCAAACCGCTCTCTCAAAGTTATATAACGTTTGTTCTCCGTCCAACTTTTCCCAACTCCCAGAAAAATTAGGTATTTTTTAAACCTCCCGGCCTCCATGCTCAGCAAACGTGTTGAGCCTCTACTTTCCACACATGCACCCATATTCTCATCAAACTAAAACAAGATTTTAAAAGAAGGACTGAAGGGGGAGGGCACGAGGGACAGTGCTGTGTGCACCCTGGGTGTCTAGGGTCCCAGCAACAAAGTTGGAGTTCCGTTGAGGGCTGCACGCTTTTGCCGCAGACACCGCTCGGCTTATCCCAGTTAAAGGAACCGAAGGTAAAGTAGGGTGAAGGTAGCACCAGGCTAGGAAGCCGCTCCTTCCCTCCCGTCTTCCAAGAGCTGGCCTAAAGGGCAAAGGCCCATGTGTGGGAGACCTAATGGGGAGTGAGGGATAATGGCAGCGTCGTGGGGTCGCGGGGAACGAGGACACTGGAGAGGTTGGGGCACAGTAGAGCGCTGGGGACCCGCAGAGCACAGGAGAGCGGAACTGTCTCGATGGCCTCCTGGGTCCTTTCCTTCCCGCACCCTGCGGTTCCCCGAAGTCCGAGGCCGGCGGATCCGAGACTTCCAGGAGTCGGTTCCTCCCCCGGGGCGCGGCCCTCCGGACGTACCCGTCCCGGGCTCCTCCACTCACCCCCGCGATCTCCTCGGCAGAACATTCCAGCAAACTGTGGTCGAGGGCCTGCACCTCTGGCTCCAGCTCCGACGCCATCTTCCCTCTTCCTCCCTGGCCGCGGTCGCCTTCCCGCGGGCCTCAGCCTCACCTCTGCTCCAGCAGCCGCGACGGTCGCCCCTCCTCAGGGGCCCGCAGTCCCGGCCAGTCAGCGCGACCGCGAGCCGAGCAAAGCGTAGGCAGCAAAGCGGGGACGCGAACCCGCAGCACGGACGGCGGCCGCCCGCGCTCGCGCCCGGGCTCGGAGCCCAGAAGTTCAGTCGCCGCCTCGTCCGTGACCTGGGGAAGGACACGGAGAACCCCAGGCCTGGCACTCCGGATGGCCACTACCGCGTCCCACGCCAAGAGAGGAGCGAAAATACCCGGGAGGGGGTAGCAAAGCACTCTGGGTGTTGTAGTCGTTCCCTGCAAGGCCGGGGAGAGACGTGGAACCCATACTAGGATGCCGCGCGAGAGCATCATGGGAGTTGTAGTTCACCTCCTGGCGGAAGCCTGTAAAGCGACGACAATCTGGATTCCTGGCGAGGGGATTGACGCCGAAGAGCAAAATAACGTGGGAACTGTCGCTTTATTCCCTTACTCCCATTTACTCATTTCACTTTTTGTGACCCTTCCCCCCCAGCACCAAGAACAATGCCTGGCGTGCGACAGACACCCAGTTGCCTGTCAAAGTCTGACCTCTGACAAGCCCTCAATAATTGTCAAAAGAATGAATGAAGCACGCGGTCTATTCCTGAGGTTCTAATGCCTTGTCATCCTCTTCTAGTCATCGAGCTTCAATAGTACTGAGGGTTTTGAAAGTTCTAAGACATGGTTTTTCAACTTCGCCAGCAATTGAAACTTATTTTTTCAGTCTTGATGCAAAAGGCAAGGAATCCAAAAAAGCCAATTTAAAGATTTACTCTTGGAGTTTCAGAGTGGAACCTCCGAGGAGACTCTGGCTTACTTCCGCGTCCAGCCCGGGGCTTCCTGCGGCTGCGCGGAAGGAGGGCCAGGGAGAAGAGCTGGGACTGCCATTGTTTTGCAGTTTCTGAAAGCTTACTTAAGGCAAAACTTTAGGGTCTAAGGCAGGAATGGCAGGCCACAAGTCAAAGGAAGAGTTGCTAGATATTTTTCTCCTAAGCTGTTTTAAGGAGTTTATTCTGACATCTGTGTTCAGTACTTGTTTTTCTCTAAAAGCAGATGGATCAGTCTGTGATGGACATGTATTTAAATGCGTTTTAAATTATCTTCAGATGACCAGACGCTAGTTGCCCTTTAGAAAGAGGCTGATAATTTTGTTATTGGAACTATTAGAGTTAGGGACTGGGCCTGGCAGTCCTAACAAACTAGGCTTGGGCATTTGTTCTTTATAGGACACTTAAAGATAGAAGCAATAGTGAAAAGCAGAGAGATTTCAGTTTGCACACAAACACACAGAAACAAGTGCGCGCGCCCATCTATCTTTAGAGTCCTGATGTGAGGTTTAGGTTTAAATAGAGGTCAAGAGGTACACATAACTGAGTAGTTCTGGATAAGGTGTGGTCCCATCCATCACTGACCCTTCATTGTCTCAGCTCCAGTCTCTCCCACAAGGTGGTTTGACAAGTTGTCAGAACTCTGGGATACCAGGCTCCCAAACCTTTTCTTTTACTCAACATGAAATTCCAATTCTTTGGGTTCATTGTCTTAATAGTGTGGTAGCCAAAAAGGACATAAATGTCTCATTAGCTTGCCTTCATTCTATTTATTTATTTTTATTTTATGTGTATGAGTGTTTTACCTGCATGTATGTTAAGTGCACCTGTGTTGTACAATGCTCAAAGAGCCCAGAAGAGGGCATTAAATCCCCTGAAGTTGGAGAGGGTTGTGAGTCGCCGTGTGGGTGCTGGGAACCAAACCCAGGTCCTCTGCAAGAGCAGCCAGTGCTCTTAGTGGCT